AAATAAAATCATAGAGATTTCCGTATTTATAGTAACTGAATTTCCTTGTTACAAGTTTATTTACAGTTTTGAGCCATCGCAGATTTCGTTCTATTACGGCCATTGACGGATGAAAAGAAAGTGTAGCACTTTCTGCGAGTTTAATAGCGCTAGAAAATCGTTCAATTAACTCCCGATGTTAGTTTCGATGGCGAAAAGCAAATAAAATCTTTAACGAGAAAGTCTGATTAAATTACTTCTCTCTAATTTATGACGTGGAATTTAATCAAGGACCGTTTTTATTGAGTGACTTAAAAATTTAATATAAAACTTACAAGGGAAACTAAATTATTTTGTCTGAGCGGCCGCGGTGGAAAGTCAAGAGAACTAGATTAAACTGTCAATTTGTTCTCGGTTTTAAATCAGTTAAGATATCAGGATAGCATTGTTTAGCTTAATGATTTTAGCTACAGTAATAAAATAGTTAATTTAACATAGTTATAGGATTGAATTAAAATATTTCTACTAGAAAATGTTCTAAGATTTTAAAATACGATTCTGAATGTTAATAATAGTATGACTATCGTTTACTATGCTCTCTGGAACAGCATGCGGCCCGTCTCACAGTGCTTCGAACATATGGCTCTAGAGGACAAAAATGCAAAACTTCTCTTTTATTGTAGGCAATTTATTTAAACTAGGTTTATTTGACACAAATGATGAGTATTCTCATTGTACTAAATGATGATGTTCTTAGTCCCACGTTTATGAAAAAAAAAATTATAAATAATAAAAATGTTGGAGCTGTAAATATTAAATAAATCCCTGTGATAAAAAAGAACTAAAATAACATTAGAATATGATTCCTACAATATAAGTCTAATATAAGATAAAAATGTTTTTCTTTAATGAAAAAGAAACATTAATGTAATATTTAATTAAAAAAAAACTTAAGATACTATAAATTTATTTTAGGACAACAAAATGTAGATCGTAACTACTCTGATTCAGAAGAATCACTGCTGACAGAATCTTCCAAATTGATAGTATCCATATCACAGATAGATGAAGTATCCTCACATATAAGATATTTCTGTACATCATTTTCTAATATGTTACTTTTTCGCGTTGTTACTGTTCTTTTTGTTGGTATGAGGGGTTCGGATGTTAATAGTTACCTCTTTAACAGACCATATCCATATATTATTTTTTTCTTTTCTTGGGTATGAGGTTTTATGATAAATTGAAAGATGGAAACTTTTTTTATGCGACGTTTCGCTCCAACATAGTGGGCTTTTTCAGGTACAAGTAGTATTTGACTGGAAGGTTCATCAATATCTAATAAAGAACACATTTTTTGAAATACAAATAATTTTGAGTTCTTGTCCTTATGATCAAGCCAAGTATTAACCAGATCGGCATTGGTTATCAATTTTACTCCATCTGAAAAGTATTATAAAATAAAGTTCGTCGCAAGCAGACGCAGGTGAACTATACAAAAATTAAAAGTGTATGAATACACAACAAAAATATTCAATAAATACGATATGTTTTGATATTTTTTTTTTAAATGCCTTTTTGAAGTTTGAAAACGTAAAATTTTTATGCCCATTTAAGAATCATCTTAAAAAATAAATAAAAACTAAACAATCACGAACCTGTTTAGAAATAAATTTAAAGTACATACCTTGTTTAACAATATCCATAGTGGCTTTCAATTAAGTACGTACCGTTTAACTCCATAATATACAGAACTACTATGAATGTTATTCTTTTCACTGATAAGATAATGATCGCAAAATTTATTTTTAGTGAAAATATTTGCTAACAAAAAACGCTGTTTATGAAAAATAATATACAGGATGGTTGAACATAGCTATAAGTATAAAATTACATATTCAGATATTAGTAAATTTTAACTTTTTTTTTCGATTTTTGTCCATAGGACGAAGCACTGTGCGTCTGGCTGCCGGTAAACGTTGCGTCTACTACTGCGCATTGAAAGAAACTCCTATATTTTTTATTAGCCCTTTAAATTCTAGTATTGAATATAAACCGAACGAGTCTCCATAGCGCAGCGCGTAGAGGTTCCGCTATGAAGCGAGGAGTTAGAGTTCGAGACCGGGTCGGGGTAAAAACTTTTTTATTTTATTTTCCTTTATATTCTGACAGTAAAGTATTAAATAATTCTCGTTATTCAAAAAAAACAACAAATATTTAATACTTTACTATCAGAATATAAACGAAAATAAAATAAAAAAGTTTTTACCCTGAACCTGGTCTCGAACTCTGAATCTTCGGTTCGTAGTCGGAAACTCTACGCGATGCGCTATGGGGACTTGTTCGATTTATATTCAATACTAGAATTTAACAGACTAAATAAAAAAAATATAGGATCTTCTTCGCATGCGCAGTAGTGAAGGCAACGGGTATCGGCAGCCAGATGGGCCGCATGCTATTCCAGAGAGCATAGTAAAAGATATATCAAAAATCCAGCTTTCTTAAAATACTTTCTTGAAAACGTTGCTAGCTCTTAGCCCACGGCCACACAGAAAGCGTTTTTAGCGTTTTGCGTTTTTTGCGTCTCAAGCGCTTTTTGCGATTTTACCGTTTTAAGCGCTTTTTTCGATTTGTGTCCATTAAAAACACGCAAAAGACGCGGCAGGTCTGCAGTTTCTATCAATATGTCAATTAGTAACGTCGCAAGCTCGTGGATTCCCGGCCCGTCCAACAATCAATCCTGTGAGAAAGAGATAGGCGAGATCGGCGCCGTTAGCGTTGAAGAGACGAAGATAAAAGATGCTGGGATTGAATTGTGGACGGGCCGGGGTATATATTCGGAGACAAACACAATCTACTGATAATGCCAGTGGTGTGTGTAAAAATAATTATTATTATTTGCCATTTATTTTACGAATTTTAGTTTTTATGTCTATAGTTTTTTTATGTTGTAGTGAAGTGGTTAGTAGTTGATATAATTATAATAGAATATAATAAATAATTATAATTATATAATAGAATAGTAAATATCTCTAGTTGCTAATGCAATTTTAGGACATGATTTATGAAACATTTTGGAGTGAAAATTCTTTACGCGTGCTGGGAGTAAAATTCAAGGCCGTGGCATACGAGCTAGTGAGACGGCCCTGACACACGAGCTCTTTCTAACGAAACGTGTTAACGGCTTAGAAATACGTAGTGACGCGACGTGTATTTGTAAGCAGTCCACGTGTTTACAAAAATATTGATATTTGAATACAAATTTTGTAAAAGTGAATCAAATTATTACGCATAAAAAAACATTTGTTACAAGTAAAAAACTATTTTTAATATTTTACGCAAATAAAACTGTTACACGTAAAAACAATTTTTACGCGTATAAAACTATTTGTTACTGATAGAAAACTATTTTTACGCGTATAAAACTATTTGTTATTGGTAGAAAACTATTTTTTACGCGTATAAAACCATTTGTTACGTGTAAAGATCTATTTGTTACACGTAAAAACTCTTTTTACGCGTCAAAAACTTATTGATTTGGGTGAAAACCTTTCTTCGCAAAAAAATTATTTTTTATGTGTAAAAACTATTTGTTACACGTAAAATACTAATTTTACGCGCCAAATACTTATTGTTTCTGGTAAAAACTTTTTACCCCAAAAAATATTTTTACGTGTAAAAAACTATTTGTTACACGTAAAAATTATTTTACGCGTCAAAAACTTATTGTTTCTGGTAAAACAACTTTTGTTACGCAAAAAAATATTTTTACGTGTAAAAACTTATTGTTTCTAGTAAAAACTCTTTTACCCAAAAAAATATATTTTTTACTTGTAAAAAACTATTTGTTACACGTAAAAACTATTTTTACCCCAAAAACTATTTGTTTCTGTTTGTTTTTACGCGTAAGAAAATATTCCTTTAATTTGTTATTATTTCAACATTTCAAACTATACCTTTTCAAACATTTCCTTCAAATTTTTGAATTTAATAGAATCTTCCTAAAGAGTAGATGTTTTTTATAAAAATATTTTTAGATAATACCCTAAAATGAAAAAAAAATCATACTATTTAATTTATTTTTATTGTATTATTAAATATAACGTCCGCCTATGACGGGGTCTCATCTTAGAAAACGCTAAAGACGCTACAGAAAACAAACTGATTTGTTTTCATTTGCGTTTTTTGCGAGACACGCCGAACGCTATACGCTCTTGGTGTGGCCACTCCTATATAATCCTGTTATTTTGTTTTAGTTGCTAAAGACGCTTCATGCTAAAAACGCAAAAAACGCTTTCTGTGTGGCCGTGGGCTTAGACTACTACCGTTGCTACTACTTACTATACACAATTCAAGATTTATAAAAATAAGTTGTTACATAATTGTAGTTGATTTGATAGGCACTTTAACTTAAATAACTTTTGGGGAAAAATGTGTCTATAACTTTTGTGCTATATATACATATAATTTTTTATACTGTTAAAATAATTTATATACTGTTAAAATTTTATAAAATTCTATTCTAAACTTACAAAAAGTTATTTATCAGTGTAGTTTGTGATTTTAGCCAACGAAATAAAATAATTACCCAAACACAGCTCTAAATGTACGTAATGGACCTGTGCATCAAAAAATGTACCTAGTTATAAAAGAATGCAATAGTAAATTATTTTAATGGGTGATATATCATTAAAATAACTGCAATTGTCCATTCCAAATGAAATTCTATGGATTTAAAGATGAAAAAACTAGAAGAATAAATAAATAATGTGACGATACAGTACCTATAAAAATAATAAAATAAATTAAGTGGAATAAGATTAATTAAAGCATAAAGTACAACTTTTTTAATACGGTATTTCTTGATTTAAAACATATCCAGGTATACAATGAATTTTTGTGTTTAAAAAAGTTGCACTATATCTTCTTTATGTTTTATTTTCTTTGATATAAGAAATTCATTTTGTTTTCAAAATAATTACTAAAATTTTTAAAATACTAAGTTCCAAATTATTTATTACCTCTCCATTAGCTACAGCCTCTCCAGGAATAAAGAGTTCAGGATAAATGGTATCCAGATACCATTTGAAACTCTTGCATTCCAGGTCTTTCCTCAGGGTCTTTCTACCACTTATGTCACCAATGTCTCCTTTGTCGTTGCCTAAAAGAAATATAAACATCCTTTATTAATATTTTTAAGTATATTCCTATTTAATTATCAGCCTAAAGGCTTGCTATGCTCTATGGGCATGCCGCCGAATTTGTGGTAGAAACTGGGGATTAAACCCCAAAAATATGTACTGGCTATACGTGACGGCCATCAGACCTATTATCACGTATGGTGCAGTTGCCTGGTGGCAGAAAGCCAACCAAACAACGGCAAAGAATAAATTGTCGAAACTACAACGACAAGAATGCTTAGCGGTGACTGGTGCCTTCCATTCCACGCCGTCAAAAGCTATGGAAATCCTACTCGACCTACCTCCTCTTCAAATTCTTTTGGAAAGAGAGGCGAGATGGGCTACATATAGGTTTCTAAATATAGCACGAGGAAGCCAAGGAACAATTATGTTCATACAAAACCGGCTAGTAGAAGAACTACAGTCGGATAAGATTCTGGGAATGATCTCGGATCTTACACCACCAGTCCAACTCTTGACGCGCACCTACAACGTCCTGTTTCCGAATAGGGACGAGTGGGATAAGCCAGGAAACGGTTTACTACATGCGGAAATGTGTTGGTACACGGACGGATCCAAAAACGAAAAAGGATCTGGAGCAGGAATTTACTGCAGCAGTCCAAAGACTGAGATCTACTACAGTCTTGGAAAACACACCACGATCTTCCAAGCTGAGCTATATGCTATTGAAACCTGTGTGCAACTGCTGGTAGAACAGCAATGTACCGGGAAAACAATATGAATATTTTCGGATAGTCAAGCCGCGCTGAAAGCACTTGAGGCAACGAAAAGCACGTCTATGACGATTCTTCATTGTAAGAAACTACTCAATATACTGGGAGATAGGAACAAAGTGTCGCTAATATGGATACCGGGACATGTCGGCCTAGAGGGAAATGAACGTGCTGATTCCCTCGCCAAAATTGGTGCAGGCTCGCCATTCGTGGGCCCAGAACCGACACTTAGCGTTCCTAAAAATCTCGCAAGAGACAGGCTCTGTGAATGGGTTAGGAGTGCGACGTTCCGGGACTGGAATGACAGTCCCAGAATGGAACATGCCAAGAAAATCCTAGCAGGGCCATCCAAACATAGAACAGGAGAACTCCTAAAGGCCGGTAGGAATGGAACGCGTGTGCTCACTGCAGTGTACACGGGCCACTGCCGGCTGAGATCTCACCTACAGAGGACGGGACTGGTGGAAGACGCCGAATGCCGATTCTGTATGGAAGATGACGAAACAATGAAGCACGTTATGTGTACCTGCCCCGCTGGGAGCAGGACCAGGTTTGAGATGTTTGGCAAACCCATGCTAGACCTATCAGACCTAGGAGACATATCGCCCTCAGACATAACGGCCTATATTAGGAGGCTGGGTCTTGAGGGTGAACTTTGACGCGCTTAGAGCGTGTAGAAACTGAGCCACAATAGGCCCTCGCGGCCTCAGTGGAGGGTCCCCATGGGACCCACTCTTAGTCAATACAATACAATACAATACAAATTATCAACCTTGTCAAATCTCAAAAGGTAAAGATTTTAGATTTTTTTAAAAGACGATACCGATATCGGAATATTTTAAAGTACCGGTCCTGGTACCGGTATATCGGAAGACCGAACATGCCTAATCATTAGTGTATAAAGTATAAGGTATTAGATTTAGACCAATATCTCACTAATAGCCTGCGCAGTTTCCTATTCAGAAAAGGTTATTAGTGCTGCAATCGCACGCTCGGTTAATCTCCATTTCCCCCCACCCCGCTCCCATTTCTAGCCGCCATAATTTAAGCGAAAGCCCCGAAAGTCATTATATTTCGATATGTTCGGCCGCAACAACATCGTTTACGTTTATACGACGAAAAATTGTTCCGTTAGATTTCAATGCGGCGCGGTGCCGTAATTACGTTTTAGCCCCATTTTTAAACGGGAACAAATTAAGGCTTGATTGGCCGACCGACGCTAATTGGCCTTTGTTTTTCAAATGACTTTTGTCCGCCGTCGGCGCCGGCAACGCTGTAGCGGTTCCGCGGCGGACTAACGCCTAATTAACTACACGAAATTATACAGGGTGCTACAAATTCGAGGTACGGGCATTGGTATCTCGGAAACCGTAATAGATACGAAAATGGTTAAATTGGGGCAAAGTTACGCCTTGGGATGTTTGCCAACATGCTATCAAATAAGTTTCAAAAATTTCAAGGATTGCTGAGTTTTTTAGGAAAAATGGATTTTTTTGAAAATAAATTTTATTTTTTCCTCTCGTTACTTTTTAGAAAATCAAAAAACTAATTGCACATTCTCATAGCCACTTTATTAGGGCTATTTGACAGTATTTTTAGATTTTTAAAATAGCTGATAATCTGTGAGATACAGGGGCCAACTTAATTTTTTTAAATACGGATCTGCATTTTTTATTTTAAGTTTTGAAAGAACTCGATCTCCTGAGTACAATGATATGCCACACTTGATACTTTTTTTTGTTTTGGGTACCTTAACAATAACAAAACTATTTAATTACTATTTAAATTAATTAAGTCCGACTCTGTTTTTTTAATTTATTTAATCTGATTATATTCATCGCAACAATATTGATCAGCGCTAATTAACATTCAATAAGGAAAATCGAGCGAATTGGAAGATTCAAATAAATAATATCCAGGTCAGCAATTTAAAGATATTATTTTTGACTTTTTTCATTGTGAATTTGAAATCTCAATGTACGATCTAGTAATATCCAAAATATTAATCGTAGTTAATATAAAAAAAAAACTTCTACAAACTAGTTTGTAATGCTCTACATGTTCGAAAGGGTACCACCCGCCCTAATGCACAAATTTATTTTTCGTTAAATCTTATTTATATCTCTTTGAACATATCTTCTTCTCATACTTCCGAATGCACTCTTTTTTGTACTTTTTTACTCTTTTTGTACTCTTCTTCCGGGGAAATGATTTGATAATTTGATTGTTTATATTATTTATTTTTTATTATTTTATTGTATTTGATTTTCCGTATTCAATGTTTTACCCCACGTCATTGTTAAGTTTGCAAGCTTATCAGCATTGTAACGATGAGTAGATTAAATATTAAAAAAAACAGAGTCGGAGTTTAAAAAAATTGTGTTTAAATATCCGAAACAAAAAAAAAATTAAGTGTGGCATACCATTGTACTCAGGAGACCAAGTTCTTTTAAAACCTGAAATAAAAAATGCAGGTCCGTATTTAAAAAAATTAAGTTGGCCTCTGTATCTCACAAATTATCACCTAATTTGAAAATCTAAAAATACTGTAATATAAATAAATAATATAATAAGTGGCTATGAGACCATGCAATTGGTTTTTTGATTTTCTAAAAAGTAACGACAGGAAAAAATAAAATTGATTTTCAAAAAAATCCGTTTTTTCGAAAAAACTCAGCAATCCTTGAAATTTTTAAAACTTTTTTAATGGCATCTTGATGAACATCCTTAAAGCGCAACTTTGCCCCAATTTAACCATGTTCGTATCGGTTACGGTTACCGAGATACCAATGCTCGTACCCCGAATTTGTAGCACCCTGTATACAGGATGTGATAGACCGGATGATATTATCTGCTTATTCAAATAATAAAGATATTTTGATTAAGCAATGAAATGATACAATACGCTCGACGTAACAGAGACGATCAAAATTTTACCTATCTTACCAGCAACGGGGAAGCTTTCATTGGTGCGGGTGATGCGTCGCATCCCTTAAAATATTGTTATACGTTTTTATTTAAAAAAGATCTCTTCTAATGCAACATGGAGAGATGTTTGTTTTTCTTCTCTGTAGACAGATTCACACATTTCTAAATGAGGTTGAGCAGGCCAGACATCTCGGTTGCAATGTTGAAGAAAGTTTGGACCGCGCCACCAAATTTTGTGTTCTAAGAGTTGAGATGCAGTTAAACCACGAGATGCGCAATCTGCAGGATTGTCACTGGACGGAACATAACGCCAGGAAGTGCTAGAAACTTTGCCTTGGATATGACTTACTCTGTTAGCAACAAAAGTTTTCCATTTATGAGGACTGGCAGCTAACCAGGCTAAAACGACAGTCGAATCAGACCATGCATATATGGAATTAAAACAGAGATAATCTGCGTAAGTAGTAGTAACAAAAGTAAGCAAATCCGCCAATAAAACAGCTGCACAGAGCTCTAGACGAGGCAATGAAACAATTTTTAATGGAGCCACTTTACACTTAGCAGTGACCAAAAAAGTACTGACTTGACCACTATCATTGATAGTCCGAGATCTCCTATAGTAAATAAAAATTCTCAATAAATTTATTCAAATAATTAAATTCAATTTCAATTACGTAATGTGTGTTGGTCGAGCTTTATAGATATCGCTAAGACCTACGCTAAAAGCTAAAATAAAAATATCTTGATAACGCGATGATGCGACTGTCCTCGTTACATCTTGAACGCCGCCGAGTTATTTTAAATCGCTTTGTATTATAACACATTTTAAATAGAAAGATAAGTAAAGAAAAAACTATTTTTGAGTACATATTTTATTGGATTTATTTTTATTTATCAGTCTTACCTATTCTTTGGTAGTAATACTGTGAAAATTCATCCAACCATACTTCAGCTAATCTTACAGAATTTCTTCTCAGAACATTAACTCCCTGCCTCCATTTGTATGGCGATCGTTTCCTGAAAATGTGGCCCACGTGCGAGCACGGTACGATTTCCAAGGTACCACCGCACATCCACGTCTTGAACGACAGCTCTAAATTCTCACCACCCCAAATATCAAATCCTTCGTCGTAGGTGCCTAATCTTTTGAAGAATTCCTGAAACAAATATAAAAAATATGTAGCAGATATTTTGAGTAAACTATTATGTAAAACTAGACATGTGTAAACAATAGACTGACAAATATACATTGATTCGTTTTGACTCAAAATATACGGGCAAAATGTAATCAAACAGTTTAATACAAATTTGATTTGACCACAGACTCAATACAATCCTTTTTGCAAGATTTGACGTCATTAATGCAATTTCAGGACTAGATTCTTCAAGGTCTACTGTAAATTCCGATCTGCCCCTAATGGAACTCGAAAACATATTTTTCCAGTAAGACGAGGCACCACCTCAGAACGCTGTAGTTATCATCAAATTTTTGCAGCCAATTTCGAGAATAATTGAGTAGCTAACCAAGATCCCAGCCGTTGGCCGTCGAGGCACCCGGACTTAGTACCTATGGATTTTTATCCTTGCGGAAGACTAAAGGTTCTTACTTTTATTTTTTTTTAAATTGCCCGTGTAACCTAAACAAAAATTAGAAGTACTTAGTGGTTATGGGAGGGTATCTTTCACCCCTACTAAGTTAATAAATTCCGCAAAAAATGTCTAAAAACGGTCCCGTCTGCCCATAACAGAAAACGATCGACATGTCAAACACCTGTAGCAAAATATCATGTCTTGGTTTGCTATTAATTTTTATAAATATTATTGTCAAAAAATTTTTCAATTTGTAGACAAAGGTAAACAAAACAAACAAAGTAAACAGCAAAGTACATAAACAAACAAACAAAAGATAATATAAAACATTATAGAAATAATATTGTCAGACTTATTGTTTAATACAAACATTTATAAATGTTTACAATGTCAAAGAACAAAAAAATAAAAATAATATTCAAAAATATTTAGTTAGTTTATAGTAAATATAAATATCAATGACCTCTAAATAAATTTATTTCGATGTCATTAGTAAATATAACAGTAGCAAACATTAGACCAGTGTTTACAAGATCAAATTCGATTTTCAAAATATAATTCATTTACGGCGTAGAAAGCCTTGTCTAGTAAATAAGAGTTCAATGCTTTGCGAAATGAAGAAAATGATGTTATGGATTTGATTTCAAATGGCAGGTGATTGTGCATTTTTTTCGAGTTGTATAATATTGAACTTTTAACTAACTCTGAGCGTGGGGTAGGTAGATAAAGATCTTGCTCCGCGTTCCTGAGTGGATAAGTGTGAGATGACCGTTCTTGAGAAGCTGATACAGGCTTACGTATTAGGCAAACGGATTCAAATATAAATAAGGAAGGAAGAGTCAATATTTTTAATTTTTTAAAAAAGTCCTGGCAATGAGTTCTGGTGTTTAGTCCCAGTGAATATCGAAAAGCTCTCTTCTGGAGCTTGAAAATGCGGTCAAATTGAGTCGCACAACACGTACCGCAGAATGGAAGAGCATACCTGAGGTGCGACTCAAAAAGTGCATAATAAACAGTTCTAGCCACTGACAAGTTAAGCTCCTTAGAAACAGATCTTAATACAAAACAGGCAGAGCTTAATTTTTTCGACAAAGCGTCGATATGCATGTCCCATTTCAAAGAATTGTCTACAAGCCCTAAATTTTTTACAGATTTTACGACGTCAATGGTTGTGTTGCTAAGTACAAAAGGCTGCAGCGAGTTTTTATACGACAAAGCTTTAGGTTTAGAAATGTTCAGACTCAGGAGGTTCGAATCGCACCATGATTTAATGGTGATTAAGTCATTTGATATAATCCTATGAAGTGCCGTGACGTCCTTGTTGCTCCAAGTGAAGCTAGTGTCGTCCGCAAAAAGACATATTTTGCCACTGATGTTTATGTTAGCAATGTCGTTAATAAAAAGAAGAAACAAAATAGGGCCTAGTACTGAGCCTTGTGGTACTCCACATTCTATTGGCTTGCTATTGACTTCTGTTGCTCAGATACGACTTAAACCATTCGAGAGATGTTCCCCTGAACCCATAGTGCTGCAGTTTATTAATTAGGATCTTATGATTTGCCATACCCTAAAGGCTGGAGTAAACTTTATTAAGAAGGGAAAACATGGCGTCATTTGTGGACTTGTTGCTTATAAATCCAAATTGATATTCAGTATTTTGTACTTAAACAGAAAAGATACCAGCCTTGTTTTAACCAACCTTTCTATGATCTTAGATAGCGATGGAAGGAGTGCAATTGGGCGATAGTTAGAAGCTTCATCTTTGTCCCCTCCTTTATGCAGAGGAATGATTATTGCCGTCTTAAGACATTTTGGAAAAATACCATTTTGGAATGACATGTTTATTAAAGTAGTTAGGTGATTCAGAGTCCTTTCTGGTAGATTCGAAAACATTTTTAAAGTTAGTCCGTCGGTCCCAGATGAGGATTTATTTTTGATGGTATTAATTGTACTGCGAAGCTCTTCTAAAACTACGGGCGAAAAAAGAAATAATTTTTTTATTTATTGTTATTAGATATAGTTTAAATGTATTGATGTTGTTAAATATAGTTTAAATTGTAATAAAATTAATCATTTCACATTGCAAACATTATTTTCGTTTTAATTGCTGCTCATAGCTAGATTTTTTTTTGCATTACAGCCGGCCGCGGCGTCGTTCAAAATCTACTTATCCAAAGTGGGCGAATTTTTATAAACTCTATATCTCGAAAAGGAGTCGAGCAAAATATCAAGTGTGGTATATTTTTGGAAAGGTAATTTTACATTACTTTCAATGAATTAAAAATATATAGGGTGTCCCATATAAAAAAGTCAAATTTTCTGTTGATAATTCATAAATTATTAATTTTGAAAACAACTATTCTTAAACCATTAAATTCTACGTAAAAAGGTGCTTTGGAAATGTTTTCACAAAAATACAAAACTTTCCATAGCAAAAAGTTACAGCGATTTGTTAAAAATGCATATTTTTGAAAAACCGAAACGGTAAAAGATATCGATGTGCGGTTTTCACCATCATGTTTTTGATAAAAATTGAGCTCCAGCCACCGATATTATTTTTCGTCTATCTTCTATAGAAAAAGGTGTGTCCCTTTAAAAGCCTCCAATTTGATCCACCCTGTACCTAAGTTTTCAGAAAAAATAACAACTAGAACAGAAAACAAAACGATGTTTCTGATTGCATTACGTTCAATAACTTACAACTCCGCTATATTAAAACAAAACACATGATTTGTGGAACTTCGAAAAGCAATTTTTCAGTACCGTAATGCTCCTTTTCCTTGTTTATATTTTCCGATTTTCGAAAATAGAATAGAGAGAGATTCACTCCAGTAAATTATAAAAACTTTTCGAACGGCTTAGTTTCCGGACTAACTGGACGGTGCACCGATAAAACGGCTGTTAATAAAAGGCAAAAACACGGCAGATTCACTCTAGGTTGCGCGTCTTTTATTCCTTTGTTCCTGAAATAGAACTGGAATTAATGGAAGTTTATAAATTTTGTAAAATAGAGATGCTTTGTCCCGAACGAAAATAGGAATTGTAAATTTTTGTTGAAAGTCACCGAATAGTTTCTGAGGCTTGATATTTTTGGCGTGCCCTGTCACGTTGTTCAATACTTGAAACCATATTTTTACTCATTACTTTATACAGGATGTTTCAAAATACTTCAGAGTGAGAATGAGAATATAATTTCGTACAACCTAACAGTAAATAGGCCAGTGAGCCAGAGTTTTAGCGTTCGAATTCTGAACACCTGCATCGATTGACGTGAAATTTTAACAGTCAATAGAGGTATTCTAATGGCTGGCAAAGGTTAGTCTTGGGTCGAGATTTCCTTATGTAAGAAGAGTACAATGCGTTTATAATGTACTGAACAAAGAGAGGACAGAGTAAACACGTTGCCAAACGTATGAAAAAAACCGAGAAACTGTGCACATCGCTAAGAGACGTGGAAGGGGATATAGCAGATTTGTCGCAGTTGACCGGTCGACTCAATCAATACCTCTGTCAGTACTTAAAGTTCTAGGGAAAGGTATACGTCATGCGTTCAGCTTCACGATTTAATTACGTCTCATGATACTTAATTTGTTTATTTATTAACGAGTCGTTGTAATTTTCCCTATAGCTTGAATTTTTTTAAGCGCAAGCTAGAAACACTTGCATTTTTGGTAAAAATAAGTGGAATTGAGTGGGTATTCGATAGTGGTCGCGCTATTAGAACTCTGAATTCAAAAATCGATATCTCGAAATCTATTCGAAATAATAGATTGTATTTTTTTCAAGAACTTTGTTAATATTTCTGCTGTATTTTCTTTGTAGACAGTATGTAAAAATCTTTATTAATAAAAAAATACACGATTGCTGAAAATTGCTGCTATGCTCTAAAAGTAAATGGATGGATTGTTTACAATTTTTGAATGGAAAAACAACCTTCTCGAATTTTTCTTATGTAAACATATTGTAAAATATCCGATCTTGAAAATAAAAAAAAAGTTTAAAAAGTTTCAAGATACTACTATAAAATGCAACAGAGTAAAATTGAAGGTCTTTTTTTGGAATATTTTTGCTCTCTTTCAATTTTTTTGTAGATCTCTTTATCTCGTAGATATTACTTATTTTTTAGTTTCACTTGCCTGTAAGGACGACCTTATTTGAGCCCTTAAAACCCAAAAATCTCGTAAAAATGAAGAATTCGAGACTGTTCAACTATAGAGGTTAATTTGTAGCTCGTGTAATTTCCTACAAATTGATAGTTTTTATTTTTACGATTTTAGTCATAGATTTTGTTGTTAATTTTTTCCCGGAAAAATAAGGTGATCTTTTTATTTTTATCATAACGAGTTTTTGAGCTACAAACTTGAAAATATCTTTTAAAAAAGTATTCAAAAAGTCTTTTCAAGCACTTTAAAAACGGTCATATTCATTTTCTTCGAAAAATGTGTTATTTCGCCATTATTTTACGGTAAATGGTTGCAATTCAGTTTTCGAAAAATAAAAAAAATCACCTTTACAGAGTGATAACTCGGCTATTATTACACCTATGGTAATCAACAAAAAATGATTC